AGTAAACCCCCCGACCGGGGACGAGCGGTGACGTCTGTACCTGACCTCTGCCGTGGACTACGTGGGTGCGTAAGTCCGGAGTAATTCCGGCAAAAACCACAGGGAGCGGCATGTTCAACGTGGGAAAACCGCTCCCGCTCGTCTGACTGGAGCCTATCCGGGCGTTGAAGCCAGTATGCCGGGCGCGTGTATGGAGGGGCCGGTTAGCCGCCGCCCCCTCATACCCATGCTGAGGGGGAGTTTTCCTTGGCAAACTCTAGCCTTGGGGCGGGGTGAGCGGCCGATCGGGTCGGTGCGCGCCCTGCTTCGGGGATGAGTATAATCCTTTAGCGTAATGGTGGGCCTGGCCGTCTCCAGGGATCTTTTTGTCGAGTCACTGGTCGGGATAGGGGTGGCTCCCCGACAAGCGGCCTCTCCGCTTCCCGGCCCATAAATAGGGTATTTCTTAACTGGGGATAGATCCCCCACCGCGGTGGGGGTCCCGTGATGGGCGAACCAGAAACACAATCTCTGCCGATATGGATAAAAAACCCACCGTAGTTTTGAGGAGGATCGAGGAAGGAGCACAGGCGAGTGCGAAAGAAAATGAGGCGATGCAAACAGACTGCCCCCCGGGGCAACGAGAGGGGAGGACCAAGGCAGGCCCTTCGAGCGTGGATGCACCCAGGAGCAGAGAGAAAGATACTGCCCCGAGGTATGTGGACTCGCTAGAGGACACGGATACCGAAGTCGAAGCTGATGCTGAGGACTTCGAAGAGCCCGAGGAGAGGAGAGGCAGGCCCCCGACGACGGGCAAGGGCCTCTTCATGAAAGAACGGAAGGAAGCTAAGAAGGAGGTGAAACGTCTCAAGGCGCAACAGAAAGCCCTAAGAAGTGTCCTGGACAGGAGAGTCCTCCCAAACTCCCGGGATAGAAGGGGAATAACCCCCGAGAGGGTGACAGCCAGACAAATGGCTGACATGTCCGTGGAGCAGATAGCCGCGGAGCTAACGGAATATATCGACATCGTGGATAAGGTGGCAGACACTTCAAAAAATTTGAAGGGCACCTATGTCCACCTACTGCGCAATTCGGCCTGTAAGATCAGAGCCGCCACGACAGTCCTTGCCGGGAAACAATCACCGACAACGGGCGAGGAGAACAGTGAACTCTCCAGATTGAGGGAGAGAAACAAGGAACTGGAGGGCCAGGTGGCTCAACTCGCGGTAGCGCTGCTGCAGCAACAACAGCAGCAGAGGCCAAGCGAGGAAGAGCCAAAGCAGGCAGAGAGGCCCCTGCGGAAGAGGAAGCTCCGTAGACTGGCAGAATCCTCGGAAGACGAGGGGACAGACCCGCCACGTACTACCCGGGTCAGTGATGACACTACCCAGGAGTGCGCTGGCGCAGGGGCGGCAGACGATAAGGCAGTCGCGGCTGCAGAGGAGGACCCCCCGGTCCTTCGACCGGCTGTTAGAGGGGCCAAGAAGAGGCTGGAGGGACCGTCCGAGGAGAGGGCCCTGGAGGAGGTCCGGAGGGTAATGGAGAGCATTTCGCTCCGGAGCGTCCGCTCGGGAGATGCCCAAGAAATAAGGCAGAACCTCAGCAACCTCATAACGCGCTGCGTGGGGGCGAGGGCGATTCTCCCGACCGGCGCGAGATCATCGACTGAGGATGGGGTAGCAGATGCTGCACAGCCAAGGAAGGTCGCAGCACTGTGCCCAGCCAGGCGCCGAAAAAGGCGACTGGGACGAAGAAGAAGGAGACGTCCAAGCCAACACCCGTAACAGGAGGAAGCACTGGGCAGGGTAAGGGCGACGCCACTAACAAGGAAGTGGCTAGGAAGAGGGCTGCTAGCCAAACCAGGCCTGGAAAAGGAGCTACCGCCCAGAGGACTGCAAGTCGCACGAGGGCTGCTCAGCCGCGGGACACCCGCAGTGAGGAAGGGCCCACGACCTCGAAGGGCAAGACTAGCAAGCCCACACAGGCAACTCAGGGGTCCTGGGTTGAAGTGGTGAAGAGGGGCCTAAAGAAGAGGACGGCGCCGGCGCAAAACGGTCCCTCCCAGAGGAACGAGGCGAGCACTCCGGCAACCAGCGGGAAGAAGACCCCTACCGCAAAGTGCAGGAATCCTAGGGCGCAGGCGGTAACCCTCACATTCCCTCCAGGCATGTATGCCGAGGGTATGAGGATTATCAAGTCCCAAATCCAACTGGAGGATTTGGGAATAAGTGAGGTCAGACCAAGAAGGGCCTTGACTGGGGCCCTCATTTTAGAGGTCTTAGGCGAGGACGCTAAGGTGAAAGCCGACCAGCTTGCGGATAAAATTAAGGTCGTCGTGGGGGATACCGAGGGGGTAAAGGTTGCCCGCCCGACAAAGCTAGCCGAACTGCGTGTCAAAGACCTTGACGACTCGGCTACGCAGGAGGAAGTTAAAGAGGCGGTGGCCAAGGTGGGGGGCTGTGAGCCTCATGAGGTGAAGGTGGGCCCACTGAGGCGTGCTACGAATGGACTTAGCACGGCGTGGGCACAATGCCCCTTGGCCGCGGCGAAGCAGGCCGCCAAGTCCGGCAGAATTAAGATAGGTTGGGTGTCGGCAAGGGTGGACCTGCTAGACGCGAGGCCGCTGGTATGTTACCGGTGCCTGGAGCGGGGCCACGTGCGGCAACAATGCCGCAGTGCTCAGGACCGTAGCAACCTCTGCTACAGGTGTGGGGGCGAGGGGCACAAGGCCCAAGCGTGCAGCGCGACGCCGAAGTGCCCGGTGTGTAGCGCGAAGGGGTTGCCGGCGGGGCATAAGGCCGGTGGTGGGGGCTGCAGGCTGCCCCCCAAGAAGGAGGCAAGAAGAATGGGTGCGGAAAGGCGAACGCAGTCGCAGCCGGCGCCTGTTGCAAGGGCCACCCAGGAGGCGGAGCAGAACAACCAGCGAGAGGAGGCAGATATGGAGGTGGAGTCGTCCCAGGTTCCTGCGGCAATCCACACCACGGAGGGGGCTTGGAGGAAGCCCACACTGAGGCCCCGCAATGCCCATAAAAATCTTGCAGGCAAATGTGAACCACGCCCGCCAAGCACATGATCTGTTTGTGCAGACCATGGCGGAGCGTGGTTGCTGTCTGGGGGTGATTGCGGAACCTCTAAGCGTCCCGGACCATCCGTGCTGGGCCGGGAGTTTAGATGGAAAGGCGGCAATCTGCTGGAGGAGGGTGGAGGACAGGCATATCCCCACCACTAAGAAAGGGGCAGG